TTCTCTTTTCTATCTCTTGCTTTTTATTTTCCTCTCTGCCTTCTCCTTTCATCTTTTTTATCTGTCATCTATTACCTAGACAAGGCATGAGATACAGAATGTAAAATTACCCAGATGGGTTACACAGTTATTGTTTCCCATGAAGACTGCATAGAAAACAAATCTGTGTCTCACTACCCTGGTTTCCTAAAAAAAAAGAAATTCCCAGTTTTAATATTGAAAGTTCCAAATCCAAGAAATTCTCTCAGTCACAGGCCGACTAGGAAGGCTGGTCACCCCTAGAAAAGGTAGCCACTCACATCACAGATGAAGGTGTTCAAAAACCAAGGAAGCAAGCCCATTAAAGTTTAGCAGACTGGGCAAAAACAAAAAATGTTAGCACATTAGGGGGTGGGGGTAGGGACAGGCAATAGTAAGGATCGAATCCAGGGCCCTCTGCACACTAGACAACTAATCTATCAGCATGCTACTTTTTTGGGGGGGGGGTCGATTGTGGGGCTTGAACTCTGGGCCTGGGCACTGTCCCTCAGCTCTTCACCTCAAGGCAAGTACTCTACCACTTGAGCCACAGCGCCACTTCGTTTTCTGGTGGTTTTATTGGAGAAAGAGTCTCATGGACTTTTGCCACCCAGTCTGGCTTTGAACCTGATCCTCAGATCTCAGCCTCTTGAGTAGCTAGGATGACAGGCGTGAGCCACTGGCACCAGCTCAGCATGCTATTTAAGATAGCATGCTAGGCATCTGTTCTTGCCATCTTCAAAGAAAGAGTTCTTTAATATTTCTCCCCTTAGGTTTTTAAGGGAGATATCAACATCTCCCTTAAAACAGACCGTAATGATAACACAGTATCTAACGATGATATAATACTCATCTTGCCTAGGAAGGATTTTTTCAGCTGAGTCTTGAAAACCAGGTAGGGTTAGTTGGAGGCATGTAGGTATGTATCAGATCTATGGTTGGTTATAGGAATCCTTGAAGGTTACCAATTAGGGGCCGCACCCTCTCAGAGGCAGCCTCCTCTCTGGATCAAAGGTCCCACTTCCTGCTACGTGGCAAGAAGGTTTCCTAATATGATCTGGAGTTTCTTGGAAGGACTATAAATGATGATGTGGTCAAAGCTGGGCTGATATGGAGTTCAGACTGTTAATTAACTGACTGGCACAGTCTAGCACCCAGGATTCAGAGAATACAGGGTGAATAGGGGAGGGAGAGGTGAAGAGAGAGGAGAAGAGCACTTGACTAGGTCCTTCCTGTCTGGAGAGAGTTTGACAGAAGACATATGGTGATCAGATGGGTAAAGAGGGGTCCCAGGGTGTGCAATCGGCAAGGGGTTCTTTCCTTCCAAGATTGCAGTGGCATTACACCAGTAGAATCACTAGGAAAGAGCCAGTTGAGAAAGGCTTCTTAGAGGAGGTGCTTTTTCAAAAATTTTCTATGCACGTTCATAGAAAAGAAAGCTTTCCCCTCTCACTACCCCCAGAAAGAAACAAGAAGCATATTCACGCAGTATGGGAAGCATCACTTCAGGAGACAAGTCCAGTTTAAACAGAAAGAATGTGTCCAGGAACTCCACAGAAGAGACATAAACAGGCCTAACTGTCTAAATGAGGGCAGATGTATGTGACAAGAATCAAGGTGTCATGCTAGGTGCTGGTGGCTCACACCTGTCATCCTAGCTACTCAGGAGGCTAAGATCTGAGGATTGCAGTTCAAAGCCAGCCTGGGCAGGAATGTCTGTGAGACTCCTATCTCTAATAAACCACCAGAAGACCAGATGTGGTGCTGTGGCTTAAGTGGTAAAGAGCTCCCCAGCTCAGGGACAGTGCTCAGGCCCAGAGTTCAAGCCCCATGATGAAGGAGGAGGAGGAGGAGGAGGAGGAGGAGGAGGAGGAGGAGGAGGAGGAGGAGGAGGAGGAATCAGAAGCAGCAGCAGCAGTAGAAGCCGCCGCCGCCGACACTGGGCAAAGGCACTTCCTCAAACTTTCTCCTCCCCTGACCATTTGTCCCGTGTCTCAGAGATCAAGGTCAGAGTCTCAGGTTCTTTTAGAAGCAAATACAGAGGACAGTTCTTCTTTCCAGCAATCTCCCACAATGCACCAGTACCAACCAAGTGCTTGCCTGGGCAGCGTCCCTGCACCATCTAACCTTTCTAAATACCCCCCCCCCCCCCCAGCTTGCCGATTCCTGTGTGCCACACTGCGTTCTCTATATCTGAGGGTCCTGGAGTTGCAGTCATCTGGGACACTTATTCAGCTCCTGGCCCCAAGCAGGTGACTGGTTACATAGTTACAGGGGAAGGAAAGACCCTGGGGGGTAGGGGGGGTGGGGGGATGGATGGGGGTGGCTCAGGCCTGTAATCCTAGCTACTCAGGATTCTGAGATCTGATGATCACGGTTCCCAGCCAGCAATGGGCAGGAAAGTCCATGAAACTGTTACCTCCAACAAACTACTCAGAAAAAGCAGAAAGTGGTGCTGTGGCTCAAAGTGGTAGAGCGCTAGCCTCGAGAAAAAGAATCTCAGGGACAGCGCCCAGGCCCCTTTATTGCCTTGTGATTCTTCTCTCCTTGCTCCAATGGGTTGCAGAAATCCTAGGCAGGCTCTATCATGTAAACACCTCATTCCAATATATGCTTCTGTATTCAAGTCCTTTTTTGTTGCCAGTCACTGGGCTTGAACGGGCCAAGGCGCTGTCCCTGAGCTTCTTTTGCTCAAGGCTAGCACTCTACCACTGAGCCACAGAGCCCCTTCTGGCTTTTTCTGTTGAGGTGGTACTGAGGAATTGAACACAGGGCTTCATGCATGCTAGGCAAGCCCTCTACCACTAAGCTACCTTCCCAGCCCTGTCATTTTCTACTGTTTCCCATTTTCTACTATGTGTCTTGGGACCTGGGTCCTCTCTTCTCTAGGTCCGAGTTCCTCTCCATCTTGACCTTAGTCACATCTCCTTTGGGCTTTAAGTAATTAAACAAATAAGAACCCTACCATCTTCACTCTGTCCCCTAGTTATTGGTCTGTCTGGGATGCCAAAGAAATAACTTGAGTTAGCTCACGCCTCAGTCTTGGTTAGCGTCTCCTTTTCCTAGCTCCTTGGCAACCAAGCTGAAATGTGGCCTCTAGGAGCGGGCACAGTGTTTGGCATTAGAGACTCTGCTGTTTTGTTTCTCCCCTTCAGGTCTACTGAGTGGAAAGGAGGCCTTGCCCCAGCTGGTATGTCATTGACATGAGTCCAGGGACCTCACATAGAAATCCTTCTTGGTTCCCATGGAGATGCTTGTCAGACTGCATGGAATAACCCTGATCGTATACCTCAAAGTTTCTGTATCAGTTACTGCTGTGTAACAAATGACCCCCCGAAACTTAACAGTTTCCAACACCAATCCAATCACCTCATTGTTTTACAGGTAAGGAATCAGAGAGATTACCTGACTCTGCTTGAAAGATGGCTCTGAGGCTGCTAGAGGCCTCTATTACTCTTGATGTGGGTCTCTCCACAGGGCTACCTCATGACCCAGCAGCTGGCTTCCTGCAGATGGAATGGTCCAAGATGAGTGAAAGGGAAGCCACATCCTTTTACGACTTTGCTTTTGGTTAAAGCAATAAGGCTTCACTGACTCGACCTGAGAGAGAGACGTAATAGGAGACTACAAGGAATAACTTTGGCAGTCTTCAGGTGGGTTGTATCCCTCAGCTGGAGGCTCACACCTGTCATCCTACCCACTCAGGAGGCTGAGATCTGAGGATCGCAGTTTGAAGCCAGCCCCAGGCAGAGAAATTCATGAGAATCTTTTTTTTTTTTTTTGTCGGTCTTGGGGCTTGAACTCTGGGCCTGGGCGTTGTCCCTCAGCTCTTCAGCTCAAGGCGAGCGCTCTACCATTTGAGCTACAGCGCCACTTCCGGTTTTCTGGTGGTTTATTGGAGATAGGAGTCTCACGGTCTTTCCTGCCCGGGCTGGCTTTGAACTGCGATCCTCAGATCTCAGCCTCCTGAGTAGCTAGGATTACAGGCGTGAGCCACCAGCGCCCGGCTATTCATGAGAATCTTATCTCCAACTCATCAGCAAAACCTAGAAGTGTAGGTGTGGCTCCAGTGGTAGAGAGTCAACCTTAAATGAAAAAGCCAACCAAGAAGGCAAGGCCAAGTTTGATCCTCAGCACACACACACACACACACACACACCACACACACACACACACCACACACACACACACACACCACACACACACACACACCACACACACACACACCACACACACAGCTGAGAGTCAAGTGTTCATTTTTGGAACAGGGTTTCCAAGAAAGGCATGCAGGGGAACTGTCTGGCTCAGGCATCCCATTCATAATTTAGCTTTCCAACTTCTGATATTATCTCCAAATGAAGTTACACACTGGAGCTGGTAGGGAGACCATCCTGGGACAGGGCTGCAGCTTCAAAACTACGCACTGCAGGTGGGCAGTTACCAACCATTTACATTTTAGTGTGAATTTGAGGCTGCTCTCTCTAGTCTAGAGGAACTTGAAAGTAATGCTTCTTCCAGAACCCTAAATAGAAATGCTTAGTGTCAGCCCATCAGTGAAGCGGGGATGGTCTTGGGGGGTGATGCATGTGTTTAAGACACCTGTGAAATCAAATCTAACAGGTAATTTGCTTTTTGATTACAGTTTTAATTCACTGAAGCTTGGGGCTGAAAAACCTGCCCATTCCATCTTATTCACCAGCAACGACAGAGCCTCCCTTTTGTGGGTGATGTGGATGGGGAAGCCACGGTCTGTCAGTTGGACCATCTTGATTCTACCCTTTGTGCCCAAGGGTGTCTGCTTATATGGTACTTGCTACACTTCTAAGATACTCACTACCCAGATAGAGTGTAAGCCTCACACACCCCATTTCCGTGTGCCTAAGCTTCTCCCCCTGCCCACAAGGCAGCATTAGAAAAAAGCTAGTCTGGGCACCCCTAGAGAACACATGTGCATAGAGGACTGCAAAGCATTCCCCAAACAAACACTGCAACAGAGACCACTTTTATTGGGATGACTGCAGTTTAAAAAAAAATATGAAGAGACAAAGCAGAGACAGGCTCTGCTAATGGTTGCCTCGTGGTGGGGTGGCCGGATATTTCTGCCTTTGCTGTGCAGAGGAAGATCCAGCCCATGGTTCCACGCCACCCTTTCCTCGAGACCAGGACTGTCAGTTGGGGACTCAGTGCACCTTCTTGAACACTTGCTTGCAGACCACTCCCTGCGCTCTCATCTCCTGAAACAGAAGCAGACAGTGGTTGAGGACCAGACTGTTGAACTTTCGACAGTTCCTCAGAAAGTTCACTGATAGAATGGAATCAGGAGGGGTCAGGCTGTGCGTGCAGACTCAGCTGGCTGGGACAGGCAGACAGGGTTCAGACTGACCAATGGAGCCTTCCACCAAGGAGCTTTAGAAGCCTTAGGCTAGAGTGTTGCTAGCTCCAAAGACCCAGGCCCAGGGTATACGGCTCTACAGGTAGCTGCAGACCAAAGCCAGATCATGTGAGATTCAGTTATGTACCACAGCTGCCTGGGGTGGGGGGCACCTAGCAGGTGCTCAGAGATTAGAACCCAGGTCACCCAGACCAGGCTCTGTTTCTCTGCATGTGTTTCCCAGGCAGAACTGGGAACAGCCACGATCGAGACCGCCTCCCCCGCCCCCAGGGGAGGGACAGGGTGAGCTGAACCCACTACCAGAGCTCAGGAAAGCTCCACAGACCTACACTGTCATCACATCTCAGAGAAACCTAGAGAATACTCCTGGCCCTGGGGCCTGCCACACTTGGTACAGCATACATAGACACCACGTGGCAGACGAGCCAGAGAGCAGAACCAAGGTCCAGCCACGGTAGCTTGTCCGTTTTCCACGTGGACCTTGGCAGTGTTAGGACCAGCGGGTCCTTGACTAGGACCATCGGGTCCCTGACCAGGACCTACCAGGTGCAGCTCGTCACCCTCGACCCACTGGGTCCAGCCGCGCCCCTCCTTCTCGCCCTTCTGCACGCACAGGAGCTTGTCGCCGTCCCAGCTCACCGTGGTCTGTCAAATAAGAACAGTGGTCACTTCTGAGCAAGCAGCTCCAAGCAGAGCTGGGGGAAGGGAGAATTCCCCCCAACCCTCAAAATCCAGGATGAGCTCTAGCCAGTTTTATTGTAGAAAAATTTGGCTGACCCTGTATTCTCATGTCTGCAAGTCTAGCTACTCAAGAAGCTAAGATCAGCCGGTGGCCGGTGCCTCACGCCTATAATCCTAGCTACTCAAGAAGCCGAGATCTGAGGATTGCCGTTCAAAGTCAGCCCAGGCGGGAAAGTCCATGAGACTTTTAAATCTCCAATGAACCACCAGAAAGCCAGAAGTGATAGAGTGCTTGCCTTGAGTGAAAGTGCTCAGGTACAGTGTCTAGACCCTGAGTTCAAGCCCACAACCACCACTACTACTACTACTACCACCACCACCATCACCACCACCACCAACAACAACAAAAAGAAGCCAAGATCTGAGGATCATAGTTCAGAGCCAGCCCAGGCAAGAAAATCTGTAAGATTCTTAGCTCTAATTAACCACCAAAAAGCTGGAAGTGGAGCTGCGGTTCAAGTGGTAGAGCACTAGCCTTGAGTGGGTGGGCCATTCCTCGCTAGAGGATATCTTCCCCTCTTTCTCCTTCCTGCCACCCAGTGGGCACCAGCCTTTCTTCTAGGCTTGCTGACCACTACTGCCCTCTGCTGCTGGGATTTCTTTTTTTTTTTTGGGGTCCGGTCATGGGGCCTGAACTCTGGGCCTGGGCGCTGTCCCTCAGCTCTTCAGCTCAAGGCTAGTGCTCTACCACTTGAGCCACAGCGCCTCTTCTGGCGTTTTTCTTTTTGCTTATGTGGTGCTGAGGAATTGAACCCAGGGCCTCAGGCATGCAAGGCAAGCATTCTACCACTGAGCCACCTTCCCAGCCCCTGCTGCTGGGATTTCTTCTGTAATGAAACTTCCAGAAAGAGACAGGTGGAAGAGGGAGGAGTATCTTGCCCAGCTTTGCAGAAAAGGAATGTCTAACCTCTGCTCTTAGGGTTCTGTTTATAAAGACGGATTAGATTAGGAAGATGGCTCCTTCTCCCTGGTCCAGAGGACTCTAGCACTATGACAATGAAGACCATGCCTTTTAAGTCAGGGCACAACATGGCCAATGTCTGACTCGTGGGTAAAGACTACTGTTGATCTTACACCACAAACAGGGCAAGGTGCCTGGTTCAGTGGGCAGCGCTGTGATGAGAAGGAGGACCAGGCAATGAGTCCTCCAGTGCTAGTTCTCCCTCTTTCCCACATAGTTTCCAGTGCCCATGCTGGTTTCTTTTGCGTTTATCCAGGAATCTATTCGGCATGCTCCCGACTCCTATCAGAGGCACAGGAGACAATCACTTGTCCTCAGGTATGATACACCCATTTCTGTCTCTTGCTGAAATGTCAATCAATGAGCATATCTACACCCTATTGGAAAATAGGGAGAAAGAAAAAAACCTCAATGAAGAAAATCATAAAATGAGTTTGTGCAATCCTGCTTTCTCAGAGGTAATCACTCCCACATTTTGGTGTATTTCTGACCAGTCTTCTATAATTTTTTTTCTCTTTAGTATCAACATACATTTCAGCTTTAGGAAATTAGGATGGTTTTGAATGCTCATTTCTTCATTTGTTAAAAGCCATTTCCCACTTCCACAAAGATTCTCCATAAGCATTATTTTAATTGCTATATAATACTTAGGAAATGGCTACATCATTTCAGGGCTCAGTATACAATGATGGGAATGAGGGACTCTTATCCAAAAATAATTAAGATTTTTAAGACAGCAGCAGAGCAGCAGCAGGGCATTAAACCAAATGACAAGCTTTTATGATCACCAGGCCCATAAGGACTATGTGGTCACAGGTCCATGAAGCTGGCCCTGGAAGTATATCATGCGTGTGCACACACAATTATTTAGCTGATTACCTATTCGAAGACATTTAGGTAATTTACATTTCTGTGCTGCTACTATTAATAAAGCTTCCTTGGACATGTACAGTTTTGAACAAATTATTTCCTTAGAATACAAGCCCACAGAAGGAATTGTTGGACCAAAGAGTAAGCATATGTTTATTTTTTTGTTCTGGTACTGGGGCTTGAACTCAGGGCTTTGGGCTCTCCTCTAGTTTGTTATCTTCTCTACCACTTGAGCCACATGTTCACATCTGGCTTTTTGCTGGTTAACTGGTGATAAGAATCTGATCAACTTTCCTGCCCGGGCTAGCTTTGAACTTCAGATCTCACCTTCCTGAGTAGCTAGCATTATAGGCATGAGCCACTAGTGTCTGGCTTGAATGTGCCTATTTTTAAGATTTCAGATAAGAATTGCTAAGAAGATCTCCCGCAGATTCACATCTGTTTACTCTGCAATTCTGCTGGCAGAGAGCCATCATGAAATGGTTTTCATTAGTGGGAAAACAAACTTTGCTCATGCCACCCTTTCTAGATCATTTGTCTCCTTTTCTTTTTGGCAGTACTTGAGTTTGAACTCAGGGAAAGCATTCTTCCACTTAAGCCACACCTCCAGGCCTTTTTTTTTTTTTTTTGCATTTTTATTTATTTATTTTTTATTTTTATTTATTTATTTTTGGGTCCAGTCATGGGGCCTGAACTCTGGGCCTGGGCGCTGTCCCTCAGCTCTTCAGCTCAAGCGCTCTACCACTGGAGCCACAGCGCCACTTCCGGCTTTTTTCTTTTTGCTTATGTGGTGCTGAGGAATTGAACGCAGGGCCTCAGGCATGCAAGGCAAGCGCTCTACCACTGAGCCACCTTCCCAGCCCCTTTTTGCATTTTTAAAAAAGACATTGACTTTTTTGTGTGCCAAGCCACGCTGGACCATCATCCTCCTGTTTATCCTTCCTGCAAGGATGACAGGCAAGTGACACTGTGCCCGACATTTTATTGGCTGAGATGCGGGGGGCGGGGGGATTGTGAGGGGGTGTCTCAAAACTTTTTGCCTGGGCTGACCTTGAACCTCAATCCTCCCAATCTCCACTTCCCATACAGCTTGGTGGACAGGTGTGAGCTATTGACACCCAACTAACTAGTCTTTGTTTAAGCAGATGTTCTACCTAACACTACCTCATGAGTAGTTGTGGTTCTCGAGGCTAGTGGTTCAGTTTCCCACTTTATTATCTAATGTTCATGTTTAGCTGGACCTTCCTCTCCTTCTTTCATTCCTTCCTTCTTCCTTTTCTCTTTTTTTTTTGGTGCCAGTCCTGGGGCTCAAATTCAGGGCCTGGATGCAATCCCTAAGCTTCTGTGTTCAAATTAATGCTCTACCATAGACATAGCTCCATTCTGATTTTTTTGGTCATTAATTGGAGACAAGAGTCTCACAGACAGACTTTCCTGCCTGGGATGGCTTTGAATTGTGATCCTCAGATCTCAGCCTCCTGAATAGCTAGGATTACAGCTGTGAGACACAGGTCCCTGGTTAGGTTTTTCTTTTTAAGTTTCGTATCTTGTAGAAATAAATCAGCCATTTCCTAGAGGGTTGGACTGAGCCTAAATGGGTTGAGGATGTAGTTCAGTGCATGTGTAAGGTTCTCGGTCCAATGGCCAGCATTAAAATAGAATACAACAGACAAACAACAAAGATTTACCTTAAGGAAAGGAAACAAGAAAGAATAGAAGCCAGCCAAGTTAGGGAGATTCATATCTTCAATTAGCCACCAGAAAACCAGAAGTATGCTGTGGCTCCAAGTGGTAGAGTGCTAGTCTTGAGCACAAGAGCTTAAGGGCAGCACCCAGGCCCTAGGTTTAGGCCCCATGACCAGAAAAAAGAAACAAGGAAAGAAAGAAAAGAAGGAAGGAAGGAAGAAAGGAAGGGAGGGAGAGAGGGAGGGAGGGAGGGAGGGAGGGAGGGAGGGAGGGAGGGAGGGAGGGAAAAATAAAAAGAGAGGAAGAAGAAAGAGAAAAAGGGGGGTAGAGAAGGCACCCACTCATCAACAAAAGACAGTAAAAATGTTGGAAGGGGATGAGGAGCGAAAGCAATTTGCTTTCTTGTAACTCAAAATGTAAGTTATCATTACAACAACCTTTCGAGGCCCTACGAACTTACTCTGTTGACCTTCTTCAGAAAAGGGTCTTTAAGAGGCCATTCCATTTCCTCCAGTGATCCACAGCATCCTGTCCTAATGGGGGACTTCCACACAGGCGGATGTCTCTGTCACTTGAAGTGACAGGGAGTGACAGAGACCAGTACTGCCCCCCTGTCCACCTCCCTTGTCCTGAGCTCCGAGACCCCACCTTAGAAATGAAGCCCTGATGAATGCAAACAGTGGAAGGGTCACCTTCAACCCAGCTCCCCTGCAAAAGTCCTCACTCCAGAGACCACTGGGGAACACAAATGGGAAGCTGCTTAGCAGCAGAGCTGGTGTAACTTAAAAAAAAATAACAAGAAGAACAAAGCAAACGTCTATCTCAGCGGCTGTGTCAGCAGCTGAGAGAGACCTTCCCACTGATGGGTGAAGACAGGTCTGCACCGCTGTGACAAGGCACTGGCATGACAAAAGCCATTGTTTAGCTGCCCTGACAACTCAGAAACCCCTGTCGGGCCTGCTGCACAGGACCAGTGACACAGACAGCCTGGCTTCCACAGATGCCCCTGTGACCCTGCACCCAGAGATGCCTCAGAGTTCCTTTGCTCAGTTCAGGTGACTAGTGCTGGTGGCAACAAACGATTTCCACTAAGTGGAACCATCGTTTGGCAGTTCCCTGGCATCGGCATCGGAGGCAAATGGCGGGACATTTATTTAAAAACCCCAGAGAACAGGGGATGACACAGTACTTCCCCCCCTCCAATCTCTCCCGACATATGACTTCTATCCAGCCCTGCCAGGCCCTCTGACTCTTGGTTATGGTTCGGGAGCCAGATTATATATAGAAGGCGAGACCCTGCCTGCCCATGGTGATTCTACCTGCAAAGGCCCGAATCAGGGACTCCCTCTGGAGTCTCTCTGCTCTTTTAGATTTGGGGATAGGATTT